ACCTTCTTTCTGTGAAGTGATATCCACTGTGCCACCTGCCGCCTAGTAATGGACAGAAGGTTAAAGTGTTTAAAGTATTAAATCAGAATAACGGGCCATTTCAACTCTCGATTTACTTTGGCACTCAAATAATTCTTTGCAAATGCAGCATTGCTTACAATTTGATGTTAGTGCTCGCACACTTTTGCGGGTATTAAATTAAAACATGCTTTTGGTTTTATGTATAGAGGTTTACGTCTGAATAAATTGTTCTTAGGTATAAACACTTAGCATTTTAAATTAGCTACATTATTAGTATTCATTGAGTCTGTGCTGCTCTTAAAGCTGCAGCTTAAATGCAAATGCAGAGCTGGCTTTGTTGGCCTCTGCCGAACCCTAAGCCGCTCTCTTAAAGTGGGGGCCTCTCTCTCATGGCATATGCATGTGCACTATCTTATCTGCTCACTATCACCATGCTTCTCTATGGGACATCAAATATTTAAACAGCCCATACAAACAAGCCAAAACAATAAACGTGCTATGGCGGCTGCTGATATTTTCAAATGCTGAGTGTGATCCCTGCATAAAGAGGGTCCATGAACTCGCACTCTTAAACTGTAGCAGGCATATATTAGCAGGCTTAGAGATTTGGCAAGCGCCGTACCCCAAAAATAGATTTCAACAATTCTCTATGAGGATGCATTAAATAAATCTGTGCTAGGCTAATCCGAGAGACTGCATTTTTCACTAGAGAGACTCCGGTGCGGGACAAAGGGGATGCTCCGTAGCCGCCTTGCCTTGATATGGGGACAGCCACATAAAAAGATATTTAGTGTGAATAATATAGGAACGGGGGTGAGGAAATCTACCGCTAATGTGACACACAATTCTCCCAAAAATCACCATTGTGCAAAAAGCAGATTGTACAGCACCAGTGGAGAAAGTGCAGGAATTTAATCTTAAGTGTATGGACATGAGGGCCACTTCCAAACATGTTCTAGCTAATGCTAATCACATTAGCATTTCCCAGAGTTCTGTAAATCTCCGTAAATAGCATGCCAAGGTTGATCCCCCTCTTTTTTCGCCCATTGAGGCAAAATTACAGCCGCTGAATTGCTTTCTGCCATGCATGTAGACTAATGAACGCATCGCTCCTGGGCCTTTCTCAACAAAGCAGTGCTAATTCTTACACTCCCCCACTAAAAAAAAAGAACCTGTTCCACTTTTAATTAATAGTTTTGGTCTTATCCTTTAGTTTGAAATTAATTTGAGGTGAGGTTTGCGGAAACAAGAGCGTTGGTGACAGTAAAGAGGGTGTAGCCTGCAGGTTGGAGTCTTAGCACATGCCCCGACGACACTTTGATATAGATTTGTGACATGGGGCTATTTAATTTACTTTTTTTATTTGTTCAGAAGACTGCAGAGAGACCGCAGACACAGGCGCTTACTGGAGTGCTTAGGATTAACCTGTCCGCTCCTGCACACTGGAGCTACAGGTGACGAGACTATAGCAGTTCACACGGCTTATATACTGTACTTACTGTAGCTCATCAATGAAGCTTCACCTTAAATACAATATGAGATTGAGAAGGAGACATGCTGTATTAGACTTATAAAACCATAACCATAACATACATACAGTAGATAATGTTAAATGTTTAGGACCTCCACGTGGATGAGAAGCTTGCTATAGTCCATTATAATGTGATTTTCTAGGCTCCTGGTTGCACTGTGGCTGTAAAGAGACTTATTTTGAGACTTAAGTCAGAAGTTGGTTTTTGGCTTTTTATTTTGACATGTTCTTGTTTTTTTTTAGGTGAAAAGAAACGCAGGTCCTAACAACACATCGCGCGTTCCTACTATTGTCTTGGATCAATAAGGCATTTTCTGATTGCACGGCTCAGCAGCATGTAACCACCCATTGTGTAGTCACAGATTATATTCGAATATATCTGCTCTTTTACGCCGTTAAAATATTCCAAAAATACACCTATCACTCATTCACTCACTCACAGGCTGGCGGTTCAAGACCTGTTTCTGACATATACTTGTTGAGCAGTCAGATAGATAGATAATTTATTTGTCACATGAATTGTTATAAGCACAAAAACATGTAGTGAAACGACTGGTCAATCCATCAATTCATCTTCTTCAGGTTTGAGCAGTCAGAATAAAAAGAAAAAAAATGACAATATCTATGATTCCAAAGTGTTTACGAGGCGTACGGCCCGGGGGGAGATAATAGACAGATCTGCAAGTTTGTCAGGTGTTAAATGCAGCTCCCACAGGTGAATGCTGCTGTGAAGTCCTTGAGCAAGACACTTCGATCCCTCGCCCTCTAGTGTCTGGCGTACGACTGGGTGATTGGTTCCTTGATTTAAAAGCGCTTTGAGTGACTTGAAAAGGTAGAAAAACGCTAAATATGAATGCGAATAAATATCACTCCACTTTCTCATTCATGTCTTGTCCTCAAACTATTTGTCAACTAACTTTTTTTTCCGGCAAAAGCCCAATCATTCAATTAACATGATGTCGCCAGACCCCAGAAGATGTCATTTAACTTAATTCAATTTCAATTTCAGACTCTCCCATAAGTGTTCTCGTTTTGAAATATGTTATCACGCACTAATCAGATATATTAGTGTGACTTTAATTATCATCACATCTGCCCTGTTTATGTGATAAGTGTGTAAGCACCAATTAGCATGCATTAAGCCTCCGCCACTGCACATAATGACTGCTCGGATGTGATCGCTCTGACAGCTCCATGTTTGAAGGAGCAAATCGCCTCTTTCCTCTAACCATATGTGGTTCACGAGAGCGGAAATGCATCCCAGAGACTTCAGCGGCCTCACACAAGATAAAACATGACTGGCGTAATCAAAATATTTCACGTCGTATTGAATGTTATGACACAATGTCGCTGCCGCACTGTTAAAAGCCCGTCTTGGGTTGCCAAACAGCGGTCCCCTCCACTCTCTTTCAACATCATAATATTTAGAATAGCCTGTTTTACACCAGGGAAATCTGCAGCCTTTATATATGCAGTGATAATGACGGCAAATAGCACATGTATTCTATGATGGAGATAAGAAACCAAGAGGCTGTAGAGGAGATTTTCCACAGAGAATCCATTGCGTTTCAATATACCTGCAGACTTAAGCTCAAAGGTGGGCGAAACATACTCGGCAATTTAGTGTTTAGTATTTCCAGGCTGTCACATGGAATAAGGCTGACGCAGAGCAGGCGCAAGAGAAGCAGTAGCAGGGCCTTAAAAAGAGCCATTTCATTCCAATTAGCGTAAATCAGGGAGTACTTAAGATTATAGGCCAGTTAGTTTAACGGCTTTGACACCTCCTGTGAAACTAACCCTGCCGCCAGTTTATTTTCCCCTGAAGATTTCACGCTTTCTGTATGGGACGTAAAACTAATTCATCTCGATTGGAGAGTCTTATGTTGTTAACCGGGGTTGTTCCCTTGTGTTGGTTTTGTTTTTATAGTGCGTCTGATCTGGATTCTGTTGAATGGGCATGCTGGGTTCCTATGAGAGAAAAAGGCAAATTAGGGACAAGCTTAAGTCATTCAAACAAGCAACCTAAAATTGAATTAGGTGCAGTAGTCAAATACAGTATGGCTAGTATAGTATAGTATAGTATAGTATAGTATAGTTTAGTATAGTAAACATGCTTTCTTTTGTGAATGTTATCGCTTTTGTTTAAACTATATCCAATTGTATTAATGTCTCATTTGTTTGTTGAGCTAACCCTACATTAAGCTTGGGTTTTCAGTGGCTGCTGCTCGAAAGGACAACAAGGGTCTTCTTACTGTGAGACGAGGGTGGTAACTACTGCACCAGTTTGATGCAAATTAAATTATTAACTGATCCTGTATTTCACCTGCTCCACTGTCTTTTTTATCTTTCACAATGAAACTGTTTTGGTGGATTAATTTCACTGTGACAATTGTTTCCTGAAGTTTTAACCTTGTTTATTTATATCCACATAAATTCCAATGTGGTTTTACTGCAAATGGCAACTAAAATGAATCTGAATCTGCATGTGACCCATCCTTCTCAGGTAGACTGTGGTTAATGTAGTGCCGCTCCTGGGGATCCGGACGTTCAGGCCTGGTTCGGACCTTAGCTATATGTTGTATGTTTTGGATGACTGAGCGACCGATCCAGACCAGAGAGAAATATGCAAACTGTGCACAGAACAGCTCAGCTATAGAGATACAGCCATTGCAGTTATTGCTATGAGGCAGTGCAATCACTCACACTCCCCCCACATTTCACCTGTCGTCACCAAAACCTTTCGTAAAAAACAAGCTACTTTTGATCTCTTCATGAGCAGAAGAGGAGGTCCATAGTCTGTCTTCTGGGGCGTCTGTGATGGTCTTACTCTTGTGATGACGTGTGGAGCTGCAGCTGTCTCGAGTGGAGAGACGTTCCCCACTCTGAGCTGCAGACAAGTCCCTCTGCATTAATTAAAGCAGTTAATTTGAAACCATAAGCTCGGCCTTAATGAAGAAGAGCTTAGAAAGGAGCTGCGGTCGTGATACACCACTCTTGTTCAACACGTTTGCTTCCGTAAGACAGAAATAGCCCATATGTGGATTACACCAGCCTGGTTTCAGCCTAGTTTCAGGCCTGGCAGTTGGAGTCATCTACCATTATGGCTACTATATTTTTTGGGGGGTGGCCCTGCAGTAATACTCATGTTACATAGGACGTTTTTGATCTCCAGGCCAATTGAACTTCCCTGTGTATCATTTCAAGTCAGTTCTCTATAGAACTGAAACCTGGAGGACCACCATGGCAACAACAAAGAAAGTACTGACATTCACTGACTCACGTACAGTATGTGAAAGATTCTTCAAATCCGCTGGACGAACACAATAAGCCACCAGAACCTGTGGCAGAGAACAAACCAACCTGCTGCAGACGACGAGATCCGGAGACGCCGTTGTAAAAGGATAGGCCGCGCAAGCCACTCTCCAACATAACTCGACAAGTGCTGACCATGAACACCCAAGGCAAAAGAAACAGGACGGAACAGACACACGTAGCACTGAGACCTGGAGGCAGACAGCATGAGGATGGGATACACGTGGAGACAGCTGGAGCAGAAATCCCAAGATCCAGACGCTTGGAGATCTCTTGTTGGCTGCCCATGCCCAAGGAGGGCACAAGCAAGTAAGTAAGTGTATAATTTCCATGTTTCTTCCATGTCTTGAGGGTTGACTCTGGTTTCTCCCATCAACACAAAACATGCAAGGTGGGGAGATCCTCCAGGACAAGCAGTTCTCCTGACCAAGTCGAGCTCAACATCTGGAGGCAGGTTCACGGGCACCGGGGCATCCTCTGCTTCAGATCAGTGCCCCAAGCGGCCTTGAGAGATAAGAGGAATATCTTAAAAGTAATAACTACTTATATGCTGCTGCGTGGATCAGGAACTTATATACTAAATACAACTTAGAGCCACCACAATGACCTAGGGAAACTGGGCAATATACTGTAGGGCTGAAAAAGACTCATGACATATTGAGGAACGTTGAGCTATGTTTGTTTTTTTTTTAATTATTGAAGACAATTAAACACACTCGAAATCAAAATTCAACAAGAACACAACATAAAACAAAGACAAGACAAAAAACTGAGATTGTTACATGTTGAATTGAGACTCCATGGGTGTTGTGGTGTGTGGCCTATTTGTTGAACCTCATTGAGCAATATTTCTACTCACAAAATGTATCTGTTTTTTTGCACCAACCAGTCCATGGCATCAAGGTACTATACTACTAACTGCACACATATTTCTCATTATCACAGATACATACATAACATAGGTCTCTCTCTACATCAGACTCTTGCCATACTGAAATGCCTTCACTGGGCTTCACCGTGCCAAACTGTGCCCGATCGCACTGGCCGTGAGCGAAAATGAGCCTATATACATAAATGCACGAGGAGGACACATCACCTCAGCAGAACGTATGTATTTAAATAAAGTTTCCATTTCAAAGTGTCCATAATGTGCACTTCTACCATGCCCTCCTCATCTCAGCCTTTTCCCCATCTGCCCGTCTGAGAGCAGAGAACTGGAGCTCGCCGGCAGCAGCGATTGTGGCATTAAGTAAATAATTTGTATGATAATTCATTACAGCGCCGTCTTTTTCAACTTTAATTGGTCTAAATGAAGAGACATTTCACACCATTTAGATAAAAAAGAAAAAGGGGAGGCCGGAGTAATGAAAAGTGTGCACTTCAGAGACTCCCTCTAAATGAAATTGTAATTGCAGTCGGACGGGTACAAGAGGAAGGACCCGCGCCGCAGATCCAACCGGGGCTATCTCCAACACAGACAAGCGCAGGCTAATGACGGAGCAATTTGGAACATTTACGCACCCCAAAGAGTCTCATTAAGTCGATCACAAGCTTAGCACAGACCCACTGCTGTAACCCGCATTTAACCAACATCAATCAGTGAAAGAGAGGAGGGGGCCGTCCAGTCTTTCAGCGAGAGGAATACCCAGCCACGAGTAATTTATTCCGACGGATCTTTGGAGAGGATAATGGCCAATTATTTGTTTATAACACTGGTTAAATTTTCATTAGGCAGATTAATGGGATATCATGTACTGTCAACACTGGAGCGAGGGGTGCTGTGTCAGAGATAAACGGCCAAACAGATGATGTCGCGCCGTTTGTAAATTGGATTTTTGCCGGCCGCTTTCTCTGCGTATGAAAATTTAAAGGTGGTAAAAGGGGGTGGGCTACAGGAGCAGACAGAGGAGGGGGTGGATACAGGCACTGGACTGGTCAACTGGTCGGGTTGTGTTCGGGATGGTATTGACAGAAAGTTGGAATGTTTTAAGAAGCAAGGAGGAAATAGCATTAGCCAAGTTTTGCATCAGGCTAATGCTAATTCCTCCTTCCTTCTTAAATTTCTTCAGTTTTGCCACGAGCCAACACCCTAAACCGCGCATACAGCAGTATGTGGATGTCATGTGGAAAGAGAAGTGTATAAAGGCACATACAAGGCTAGAATAAAGGATGTAATATAAAGGTTTTTGTTGTAGTCTTTATTATAATTATTATTTTTAAAAAGGTCAAATTTATGTTTCCTACCCCTTTGTATAAATTCTCACAAATTCTTTCCTTAGGTCTTTTACGATATTACAAATGCACGTTGACTTGATCAATGGATTACTACAGAACTTACATAGACATCAGTTAAAACTAAAATAACACCATAAATGTTCTTCTGTTTGTTAAAGGCACAGTAAACGTCCATGGTGCCCATTGCTCTGGATGTTAAACAGCCCAAAATAGCACTCAGTCCCATTGCAAAATGAACGAGCCGACTCAGAGAGTGTTAGGGTTTGTTAACTTTACAAAATGGTGTTAAAGTCTACTATTGTGGGGCCTCACAAGGTAATAAACATTATGTCCACACAACGTCATCCCTCGGTAAAAGACCACATATTTTTAATTTTCTTTAGTTAAATGGAACTTTGAGTGGTTGATCAGTTCTGACGTTTTGAACAGGAAGAAAAATGACTCAAGATACAAAATACAACCTTTCTGAGTGGAGTTTGCATGTTCTCCCTGTGTCTGCGTAGGTTTCCTCCAGGTACTCCGGTTTCCCCTACCACTAAAACATGTACAATAGTTCTGGCATGCGCCTCCTGTACTGGCCCCGCTCCCATCTCAGTGTGGAGTGAGAGACTAATGCCCAAAAATAACAATTGTAAACCGCTTTGTGACTCTGGTCTGTGAAAGGCGGTATATAAATAAACATTACTTACTATTACTTACATTGTAGTCTTAATATTTCTGATGAATGGAAAGGTCAAAAGCAACATCCTAAATAAATCATAAGCAGCCTCCCATAATGCCTTCCCCATGCAGCCACACAGTCTGCTCTTACTTCTCAGTACGCACACATACACACACACAGACATACACATTACATAAACGTACACACACACACACACACACACACACACACCACACACACATTATTTGAAATGATAATTCAGGCGAGGTTTTAGAAGCTACACTTTTAAATGAACACAGAGCGACTATGGCAGTGACGGCCTAATCGGACATTATGCACCTGCAGCTGAAGAGCGGCTGAAGAGGGGACGCCTGTGTGTGCTGACCCCATACGATGCTGAGGCTTGATATGGAGCAGTTTGAACCTCGTGCCTCCACAGGCCTCCTCCTCTAGTGCTCTGGGAATTGTCATTTTCAGTGGTGCATATTTGGGGCTTCAAATAACCCATTTCGCACCAAAAAAGTGGGTTTGGAGAATGGAGATAAAAATGTGCCGTATCAAATCTTAATGCGCTGGCCTCACCCACAGTGTGCAAGCGACGCCGCACGGACACACTCTTATGCAGCCAGAATTTTAATGAGTGTTTTGGAGCTGTCGGAAATGTGGCACAAAGCGTTAACAGCTCAGATCTGATTCTCACTGAATTACATAAATCTGCTGCGGCGGTAACAGGCCATTACAGTGTCATTACGCACATTTCAAAAAGAGTTTATCCCTCATTTCTCTGGACAAACCTGGGAGTCTTGGATGGACTTAATTTGGACTCCTGGATCACAATCTGGTCTCCTCAGGGCGCCCTAAGCATCGCGCTCTGGCCCTATCACAACAGAGATCAGCTGAAGGAGGTTATCGAGCAGCGGTGGATCTGTCACCGGGCCAGTGCCGCAGCGGGACACGAGGGCCATTTAATTAGGCTGCGCTCCTCTGTGGTGTGAACCTCTCCAGCCCTTTGATTCCCACTGCTCGCCCAGCAGGAAGTGCTTGCTGATAATTGACACAGGATTTCCTTGTTAACCAGCGGCAGACTGTGTGGATTAACGTGACAGAGATCTGCAGAAGAAAGTGGGGAGCAGATAAAGGCTGGGGGCGGGGGGCAGCTATTTACTGCTCTTGAGAAACCGGGAGGAAATAGCAATATGAGAGAGGAGCGGCCCCGCCGCGAGATGTAGCTTCACTTATCTTAGCCATTTCAGCTTGGCTGATCAAAGATTGGCTCCCCTCAAAATAACCTGGACCCAAGGTTGACTACATGCTTCCACACCACAGGATTTCTCTTTTTTCCACAAATTATCTGCCTTTTCCAATCCCCCATAGAGCAGCATGGCTGTTTGTTGAGGACTACTGGGATAATCTCATTCTATTTGTACAATTATATTCCATCATGGGATACAAGCATATTTGCAAATGACGTAGTTTCCCATTTGTGTGGAGGGGGTCAGTAGCCTTGACAAAAGCATTATGACGGATACAGGTCTCGCTGCAGAGACACTGCCTCAGTCTAATCCACTTGATTTGTTTCTAGATTTCCCTGCTGCTTATCCAGCAGCAGAGCGGCTTACAACAGGCCCTTTACCCAGTGCTTTACCACACACCTGATCTGAGCTCCATCACTCACTCACAATTTAACTTTAACACTTCAACAACTTCAGCCCAAGTGGATTTCTCCTTTTTCATTAAACTTCATCTGATTCTAGATGTTTGGCTGTTTTAGGCCCTCTGCTTTAAAATAGGTCTGAGAACTCGGTCATGTGAGAACGAGAGCAGATGCAGCAGTGTACTTTACAACATAAACTTTAGAAACTGTCCTTACTAAAATGAAGGTAATGTGTTGCATCTGGAAACTTGATGAAGCCAAAATGAAGGACAGCATCATCTGCAAACAGCAGAGAAATCCCCAAACAGGAATCCCTGAGTCCCTGGCTCACAGAATCAGACAAATATAACTAGTCAAATCAGGACCTCGGACGAGCACCAGGGTTTGCAGCTGACTGAAGCAGTACATCCACATCTGAGGCCATGGTTCTCAACCAGTGGATACATTCTTCAAACAGATTATGTCAAAAATATGGGGTTGAGGGAAGGAAATAGTGTGAGGTTAACAGAAAGACCGGAACATAGTTTACAGTGATGCGGCCACTGTGTCGGACTATCCCACCAGGACCAGGACAACCCCATGGAAGACCTTAGGACACACTGAGGGGACTATGTCTCGGGAATTCTACTCTGCTCCAAAACTGCTCCAAAATGATGCAGAGCAGATTTGTATATTTTAATTTGGATTAATGCAAGCTACAAGAGGGTGCAGTCAAACCAGTCTTTTTTGAATGCTCAAAGTTGCTATTAACTCCCATTTGGTGCTGTAATACAAGCCGGTCTGAGCTGTTCTGTGCCAACAAACTCCACGACCATCACAAATGATTCACTCTTCTTTTTTTTTACATTGACAAGGTCAGTAATTCACTAGATGTGGCTCAGATAAAGCTACATAGTATCTGTAAAAAAATCGTTCCCATCTTCCACCACTGTCTCCAAGCACCAGAAGGGTGAGTCAAAAGCAGCCCAGGTCAGAGGCAGGTCCAGGGCATAAATCAGAGCACAATCCCTGGTGCACACAGCTGTGGAGAGGGGAACGACAGGTCAGAGACAACTCCATCTCTCCCCTCCAACATGTAGTCATTCACAAAGCATGGATTCATGATAGATTAATAATATTAACAATAGATTATAGTCAAGTGTCATTAATAATTAGATGACTATGTAAGCAGTTGTTTTTTTAAATATTTATTTCAAGTGTCAATCAAGAGGTTAAACAATGAAAGGATAGCTCCAGATAGTGCATGCTAAAATGAGTGTGAAGGTTGTTACACTCTGCAGACTTAATACAGTGTTGACCTGAGACAAAAGTGGGAAAGGTTGACGTGTTGTTTGGACTCGTGTCGGCCTTTCACCATGATGAAGACTGGAACGTGTCAAAATAAGGATCAAAACAAATTTCACACTTTTGAAACAAGTCTTCTAGAGTCACAGTCACTTTATAATGAACAAGTTTACCATCCACATGAAGCAATAACATTTTCCAACATGTTTTTTTAAGGGAAAACTTTAAGGAAGGAGCAGTGCAACAAAAACCCCAACTTTGACGGTCAGACCACACAACTTGAACCGGAGTTTTTGGCCGCAAAAAACCCATTCTGTGCTCATCCGTCCAACCATTTTCTTCCAATGTATCCGGCCCCAGTTTGCGGTGGCAGCAGTTTGAGCAGAGATGCCCAAACATCCATCTCCACACACACTTCC